AGGCGGTTTGAAAGATGGCGGATGAGGTGGACCAGGTGAGCGGCTGTGGGCTCCTCCAGCGCCTGCCCCGGGAGGCGGCTCTGGGCTGCGCGGCTGGGCCGGCAGCGCTTTCCGTGCGAGGCGAAATCCCCGCTCGGCCTCGGGGTTTGTGGCGCTGTCGGGACGCGGGCAGGGCGCGCTGCGGGCCCTCTGAGCGGGCACTGCCGGAGGGAAAGGCGGGGAAGGCTGCCGAGGGCAATGCTCTCGCTCTGAAGGAAAAGGGTAGCTAGAACGGAAATATATGAGACACGGAAGATGCGGGATGTGCACGGAGGTCTTTACTCTTTTTTAGTTACTATCCTCGAAGTGTGCTTTTCTCATAGAAATGAGCCTTAGGCCGGGGTGCGTTGAGGTTTCACGCCGGCCTCGGAGCCCGGCCTGGCTGCTGCAGGGGCTCGGGAGCGGTGAGGGTGCGGGGCAGTGGGTGCCCGGTAGTGCCCGGTGCTGGCCCCGGTGCCAGCTGGGCTCGGCCCTCACCCTGCCGCGGCACAGGTGCTGCTGGCTCCCGCAGTGTGCGCTCTCTGCTGCGCTCTGAGCCCTGGCTGCCCGTAAGAAAAACAGCTCCCACAGTTAGAGGATGGTTTGTGTTGAAAGGGACCGGACCCTAAAGATCAACCAGTTCCAATACCCCTGTGTGAAGAATGATTTGCTGCAGACTAAACTCAAATTTTTTGACTCACGTTGCTTAGGGCTGGTGAGTATCAGTGGAGTGGTAAATCAGCAGTGCTTGGGTTCACCAGGATGTGAAAGAACGATTTGAAGTATTTGCATCTGTGTTTTTTCTCCTTTGTTTCCTTTGCCTTGCAAACATTAAGGAATGGAAAAGTGCAAAGACTTCTTCTGTACGAATAATGTGTTTATTTTGGGTTTTTTTAGCAACAAACAACAAATACTGTAGAGGAGCCACTTGATCTCATCAGACTCAGTCTAGATGAGCGAATCTATGTCAAAATGAGGAATGACAGAGAGCTTAGAGGCAGATTACATGTAAGTAAAACTTTCAGAACATTGTCATGCTCATTCAGGTAAGCACTGGGCAGTGTATCTTTATGTGTGTTAAACAGTTTACCTGTAGTATTCCACTGGTTGTTGAAAAAATTAATTTTAAAACATGAGTAATTGCATTTCATGGTTGAAAGTGCAGAAGTGGTTGGAGAAACTAGGTTAAGAATTGCCTTAGTTACAAGAACGATAATGTGCTTGGTGGAAAAAAATCTCATTTCCTCAGTACTTTGTCAGCTATTAACTGCTTCCCTAAAAAGTCAAGAGATGTATTTCGTTTTGCTTGTCTCCTGAATGATACCAGGCAAGTCATTTCACTGCTTTTGGCTTCCATTTCTCTGTCTGTGAAATACGCAATAATACTGCAGGCCTCTTCCTATGATGTATCCTAAGGCTGCTTCTAGACTGAGGTCATCATTATCAAACAAAAATCCTTTAAGGCACACTTTAATCCTTTAAGGTGTGATGGGATATGTACTCAGCTGGATTCTCAGATTTTTGCTTTCTATTAAGTCAGCCAGCCTCCCTGAGTGCTCTGCTGGGGAAGTGAGCCAGTTGCCCTGTGAGTTAACTGGGCCTCAACTCCTTTGGAAACCTAGAGATAATGAGAGATCCATGAGGGACACATGTAGTTTGCAACATGCTTTTGTAAGGTTTTCAGAACATGTGTTTAAGGTTTTGTAGCAGTGTATGAGAAGCAGCTTTCATACCCTTTAAGTTGCCCCCAGGCAATCGATTCTGGGAGGCTGGACTGGCAGCAGTATGTGTAGCTGGGTTAATGTTAACAAAGTGTGTCTGTCTCTGAGGTCTCACAAGTGCTCTTACAGAATGCTTCAGACCTATTTCCTGCAAGTGTTTGATGTAAATATCATGCCTTCTTTTTCCTACTACAGAGTTCTCATTTATTTATGTTTGTCTTGAGTTGTAACTATAACTGATAGTACTTCATTTTGGTCAAAATCAGACCAAACTATTTATGTCTGAAAGTCTTGCTAAAAAATTCTCATTTTAATAAACTGACGTTTGAATTTTGGAAAACATAATTAACTAAACTTGATTCCTACAGGCGTATGACCAGCACTTAAATATGATTTTGGGTGATGTGGAAGAAACTGTGACTACAATAGAGATTGATGAAGAAACCTATGAAGAGATTTATAAAGTAAGGACTAAAAAGGGAGTTAATTTATCATCACAGATTTTTTTTTGTATCTAGAACTACACTGTGTTATATTGTTAAAGTAGTTTATTGCTTTATTGCTGACTGTTTTTTGAATCAAGCTAACAGGATTTGGACAAATTGTTATGAAAGTACACAGGATTTCTAGAGATTTGGTGTTAGTTGTAATGATCTGTTCAGCATGCCAGAATATTGTTTGTTGGAGTTGTTTCAAGTGTGTTTTTATGATTGAAATTAATGTTCTGTAAATTTGAACTTTTCTTTCCTTCTTTGCAGTCTACCAAAAGGAATATTCCAATGCTCTTTGTCAGAGGGGATGGCGTTGTGCTTGTAGCTCCCCCCTTGAGGGTTGGTTGAAGCAACAAAGGACTTAACCTTCTTGGAAAGTTCCAGACTTTTGGACAGTGGTTCATGTTTCAATCATGTCTCAAAATTCTGTATATGTTTTTTATAGGATATTTTTGTCAGTTCTTTTGAAAAGGGGAGGGAAGGGGAAACCAGTTTGTCCTGCAGAAAGTACATGTAGTCAATCGAAGCAGTGTAAAACCCAAGCTGATCTCAGAATTAATGTAAACTGCTGTAAATTGGCTGCCTTGTCACGTTCAATGAAATAATCCTTAACTTTTCTATCTTGGCAGTAGCACTGTCTTGTTTTTGTTTTAAATAAACTTTGGTTTGTCTTTGAGATTTGATTTGTCATGTTTTTTATGTTGAGGGCTCTTCCATAGAGCTAGTGCTTTATGAAGTTATAGTATCAGCCTTGCTGTCAGAGAAAGCAGGATCTTTAGTGTGTTATTTTAACTTCTGTCCTTACTAACATGCAGGTGTTGCAGATTATTGGGGACAACACTACATTAATCAATGGTACTGTAACTTATGGCTCTGTGTTCAAATTTGTGATGCATATCCTCGTTGTAGGGAAATGATGTTTATATGAATCTTCCACCTAAGATAAAGAAGATCAGCTTCAGTGCAATATTTTCAGGCATTTTCATTTTTTCACTCGCTTTGTTAACACAGGGTTTGCAAGGCTGTAAGTACAGGCTGAGGTTGTTGTTCACATGCTGTTGAATTGCCTGCTGCATTCATTTCCTTCTGTTTGTAGCATGTTTCAGTTCTTGAATACATTAAATTCTGCTGGATGCCTTAAGATGCTTATAAATTATCTGTAGTGAAGGTGCACTAGAACCTGAACAAAGCTATTTTTTAATACATACTTTCTCAGGCCCACCTTGTTTGCATTTTACTTTCCTTCTTATGTGAAAAAAGATACTTCTGCTATAATTATATTTTAGAGTCATATGAGAGATGTAGGTCTGCACTTCCTATAAAGCTTGACTTTTGACAATTATCTAGCTTCTCTGTAGAGTTAGCAAAAGCAGCTTGCTTTGGCACTTTTTCCCCTACACTTAAAAATTTTCATAACTGTCCACAGCTTGAGACAGTGGTGAGGAATGCAAGGTCTGCCAATCATTTATTTTTCTCCATTCCTTTTTATACTTGGATTTTGGCAAATCAGGAATTTCTACCATGAAAAATTTTTGAATTCATATCTGTTAATAACACTTGTAGACTGAGAATGATAATGGATGAGCTGTATTTTCCAATATAACACATTTATCTCTATCTACAGCATTTTTCTATCACAGGGTATCAGCACAATGGGAAGAGGTCAGCTCACCTACATAAATCCTTGGAAAACTCATTAAAAATTGTCTCATTTGTCACCTGCTTCTTTTTAAGTGAGAGATTATGGTAGCTCAGTTATTGTCTAATTGTTTTCTTGGGTATTTACTGTCTAATTATAAAGATCTGTTACTGTTTTGTGTCTCTGAAATGGCCAGTATCATCCTTGATCCTCTGATTTGAAATGAGCTGTCTGGAGTGGGAGCCAGTCTAAGCCTCCCAATGATGAATATGGATTAAAAAATAAAAACAAAAAGCAAACATCCCTCCCAAACAACCAACCCCCCCCCAACAAAACAAACAACAAGAAAAGAATATCACCCTAAATGAACTCCCCAAAAAACCCAAACAACAGACCCCCCAAATAAAAAAAAAATGCCAAATAAACCAAACCCCAAAACATTTGAAAAGTTTTTTTGCAGTCTGATTTCTTTCATACTGTTCTTTCTATTTTTTGATCATATATTTAACCATTTGTCTAGATTTCTGTTCCTGATGAGTTTGAAAAAGAAGTTAATTTTCCTCATGTATTTTCTCAAGGTTTGTCAAATGCCATTTCATATTGTCTTATGTTTTCAGTCTCCTAGAACTTTTAATAATATTTAACTTCTTGAAGCTTGAGGAATTTTAGTTCTAGTAGCTTTTTATAGACAGTAGTAGTCTTCTGGTAAGTTTCAGACTTTCAACTGCATCTTTTTTATAGATGGCAGAATATTTTCTTAGTTTGTCTTTAAAGAATTTCTGTTCTGCCTGAAAACATCTCATTCTCAGGAGTTCTTTTATAACACGACTGTTACTATTCAATTCCCTTTATCAGAAGTGCTGATAGAGTTAAACTTCTGATGTCCTGTTTTCGTGGGTGTTTGCTATCTTGAAATTTCTGTGTGGGCTTGTGAAATTGATTTTTGGATCTGACTACTGAAGGGCACTAGATGGTGCTGCTTTTCCTCAAATTCAAGCTTTGTTGGCTTTGATGTATGTAGCCTGTGTCAACAGGCCCTGTGCTTGTACAATTAGTCATTTGTTTTTAATTAGGGTGGCACTTGCTGACAGTTTTAAATTAACTGCTGCTTGCACCCAAGTAAAAATCAAAATATGTTTTGATGTTTATGTGGGCACAGAGCAAGTCCCCACAAGAGTTAAAGTGAAGCAGTGTTTGTGCCTTGCTTTGTCAGAGGTTAAGATGCCCAAGCTTCAGGCTGGCAGCTTTTCTCAGAGAATAATCTGAAGAATTGCACCATATAGAATGAATTGAGGTTGACTACTGTGCTGCTGAGCCCTGCTTGGAGAAGAACAGCCCTTGTTGTGTTGGTTCACAAGGCTGCTGCTGCACCCACTGATTCAAATGCTGTCCATTACCTTCACCAGAGAACTTCATTGCAGTTCAAATTCAGCAAAGGGGAGCAGCCTGCACTTAGGTGTTTCTGTACATTAAACTCCTGAAATGATAAATATTTAAGTTTATTTGAAGTCACCGCTGCTGTTGCCGTTTTTTTTTGGACCCATATAAATAGATTTTGAATCCACCCTACATATTTGAACAAGATATAATTTTGTTGTAGGGCTTGGGGGGAAGATGTGTTTAGTTTTGTCTTTTTTAAAGTTGAACAGGGATTACATTGCATATTTTATTCCTATTCCCTAGCACAGGACAAGCCCAGGATTTGGACATTACAGTTATAGTAAGCCTTGAGCAGTGTGAGCATTGGCAAGCTGCTGCAGGGATTCAGGGCTGGAAAAGCAGGACAGTATTGATCATGTTGGGAGTTCTACAACAGCACTTTCTCCTCTTGGTGTTTTTGTTTCTGTTCTGTAGATTTCATTGAAAATCTATCATTTGAAATACTTAAGAGAAGGAAACTTGAAAGCCTTCTTACTAGATTTTCCTTACTAGAACCATAGGACTGGAAAGGGAACTGATTCAGTGCAAGATGACCAATGCTGTGCATTGTTTTTTGAACTGATCATGATGGTGACATGTACAAAAAATCCCATCAGACTTATTAAGGTTTTAAAGCATTATTGCCAAGATCATTGATGGGCCGAATACATCATTACCGAGGGTGTAGGACTCCCATGTTTCTAAACAGGAAGCTCCTTTCATATGTTAAACAAAAAGAATGGGAAAGAAAAATAGAAAGTTCTACAGAAAATTGAAGCACAGTGTCCAAGCCAGCCTTTTTGGGGGGAAGAATGGGTGGAAGGAAGAGAATAGATGATGTGGGTTGGAGCGGAAAGCAAGAACCACTGACGGAAAAAGATGTAGTCAGAAACCCTGTGCATGAGTGAATTTTTTCATTGTTGCCCAAATTAGTTTGAATGGAAGAAAGGCCCACTCCCAAATTTTGGAAACTTAGTCCAAAAAGCCTATTGAGTTGTACAATGGCATTTGATCAGTTTATGATGTGATTGCCTGCACCAGCAGGGGACGAGGCAGGCGTGCTCACTGTCTGGGTGGGTGGACAGGCTGTTGCAGAAAGCACTGCACAAACCTCAGGAAGAGCTGGGTAAAGACTGGTCACAAAGAGGGGTTTTAGCAAAGTTTTCCTCTGGGTGGCACGTGGTAAGCATGGATATTTGCTTCCTCAAGGCGCACATGGAAGGCATCAGGATATTCAAATGTAGGCATATTTTCTGACTTTCTCTTTGGCTTTAGCAATGAAAATTGCTTTACACTTTTAGAACCAGTTGTTTAATTAATTTTCTGATAAGGACTTACATTTTACACACCTGGGCTGGCTAAATATGGTGCTCTTGGATCTCAGTCTGTTGGTTCATGTCACCCAAAGCCAATGTCAGTACCTGCAGCAGATGATATACTCCTCTAGCCTGTTTCTGGGTGATTTGAGCAAGCAGCCTTTACCAGGGGCTTTAAACTATTTGACAAATCAAAGCCTGAGTTTCCTAAACTCTTCTGCAATAGTGGATCAATTTTAGCCTCTAAAGGAAACCTTACTGCTGCAGGCAAGTTACAGTTCCTTTCTCACAGCACTCAGCTGTGGCACAGAAAAGTTACCATCTTTGTGGGTAAGGGAGGCTGCAAAAGCCTTTGCTATCAATAGCACAGTTTATGATGTGATTCATAGTCTAATTGATGCCTAACAGAACTCACAGTTGTGGCACTTCTACTGCAGGAAATTTGCATTTGCTCTTCTTGAATCCACTAAAGTGCTGGGCAGTAAAACCTCCAGTCTGATGCACATCATGGCATCACGAGTGTGTGTCACTGGAGCTTGTCACTTAATGCTGATCAGGGTGTGTAAAACTTTGACCAAGCAATTCACATAATTCCTTCCCCACTCTGTTCTCTGAACATCACAAGACCTTTCAGGTAAGCAAATTATTTCCATTTAAAAAGAAGAAAGAATGCTGCTCTAAATTTATGTTACAGTATGTAGAATATTAAGGATAAAGCCTGTAGTTTTCTTCCTGGACTGCATTACTAAATTCTTCAGGATCCTTCAAATTTCAGTGGCAGGGAAAATTTGAAACAAGTAAATGGTGCTCCAAATCATGATTTCTTTAAATAACTGCTGCAACAGATGACTGTCACTCATCCTTAGCACATAATTGCAATGATTAAGTTTCCTTTTTATGCTGTTAATGTGACATGTTAGCTAGACTGAATTACGTTTTTCACAGCAGGTAACTGTTCCTGGTTCATCCTGTGCTGTAGGTGGTGTGGCAATGCAGCATGCTGTAATTTGTTCTATAGCACCTATATTTAGTACTTTTTAGTAAAATAGTTGCCTCCCCCCACTGCCCAGATGTTGTGTTCCAGTGGTTAGAAGTCTGAGGAAGAAATGAGATATCAACAGATAACATCTGAGAGCTAATTTGATTTGTTCTACATTTGTAATGCATTCCTCCAAGCTAAATTCTTGTTGACTGACGTGCTGCATATAAAAGGCAAAAAAAGTCCAAAGCTCCACTGCAACCCAGGAGGATACACTGCAGTTAAACTGAACACGATTCTCAACAGCTTTCTTATAACAAACCTT